GATGACATGACTTGGATGCAGAAGATGGAAGAATTAGAAGATAGAAAGGTGGGCAGCAGAGCAATATACCAAGCGGGGTGTAATGGATCTTGGCCTAGGTTTCAAATAAATGTTCAAGTTTGGAAAAATGTGATTTATCTCTCTAAGATTTTCTGCTAATCAAAACTACATTACTACTGCATGGTATAAAACTTTTTCTAGCGGGGCAATAGAAATGAAATAACTCAGTCATATCTTGCCTTTATGTTTCCTAGGAATCTGAGAAAAAGGGACTCATTGAAAGAATCTATATGGTCCAGGATATTGTTTCAACTGTTCAAAACATCTTAGAGGAAATCGCTTCTTTTGGAGAAAGAATTAAAAAGTAAGTTCTAGGTTTTCATTGTGCTGCTTGAACTAGGGCTGTCATCTGCAAGGACAGCTCCCGAGACAGTGGGGGTGAGAGGGGTGGGATTAGATGAAGCAAAACCAACCGTGATGCTTTGCAAGTCCTGCTTGACTTTGGAAAGCTAGCTCTTTGGGCTTGTCAGCTTCACAGTTGGGCAGTGCCGCAGAACTCGGGTGACCAGATGGCCCAATTTACACCAGTCATTCCAGCATAATTATAAATGGTGCCCCCTTTCACTTTCAAAAGTCTCCTCATTTGGTGATAAATTATGGTTACCCTACTCAGAAATGAAAAAGAAAGTAAATATGCTCTGAGTGACTCTTTGCCATCTGAACCATGGGACATGATAAATGCTTGGAGTGAAATTTTTCACAGATCACAGGAACAAAAAGAAAAGTACATTAGCAGTATTATCAGAGCTGTTGCCTTAGGGAGGAGCACTCTCTATCTAAAGGGATGGAGAAGAAACATTTCCAGCATGGGAGCTGTTAGATCTCTCTCCCGGCTACTCGGCTTTGCCATTGGAGTACCAAGGATAGAGGTGTAAAGGAATAAGTGTGTAAAAGTGTGGGTTTTTACAAAAACTATCCATATGTGCTCATGCTATCTGAGGGCATCAGGACTAAATTATCTGAAAGAACCCAAGTTGATAAAGGCTCATTTTATGAATCATGGGTTTACAACTTGTGAACGCTTCGTAACCCGGTCTTCATTGCGTACCTCTGTATAAACCAAACTAAATACATTGCCACTGACTGATTCGGACTCATGGCTTCCTTGTAGCACAGAGTGGAGATGTGCCTTAGGGAGCCCAAGTCCAAAAGCCGGTTGATGTAACTTGATTCTGATGTGCTTCAACTACCACAGAATAGAGAAGTGTTTTATTTATTTCCATTTAAATGATAAGACATAGTTTTACTTCTTTAACTGCAAGCTTGTATCACCATGTTATTACCTTTTTAGTTTAATCATTT